GGAATTACACAACAGCCACTGCCAAACCCAGGCCTGGCCGTGCATGGCACACACGGCATTCCCGTGGGCATTCCCGTGGGCACGGCTCCAGCTCCAGAGCCCCCGAGTGCCCCCAGCCCCTCGGCCAGTAGGGCCGTCCTGGGGTGCTGGGGGGGCAGGGCAGTGGGGCACCCCACAGCATCGGAGCTGTGTCCCCACAGCCCTGGGACAGATGGGATGGCAGGACAGGGGGACAGGCAGGGAGCAGTGGGTAAAGAGGACACGGAGTGGGGCAGGGCAGGTGTAGGCGGGCAGGCAGGGGTTAACTGGCAGGGAATGGGCAAGAAGGATGTAAGGGGTGGTTACGGGGGCAGTGGGGCAGGCAGAGAACAGACAGAGGGACAGGCAGAGAGACAGGCAGAGGGACAGGCAGAGGGGCAGGGAGCAGGGCCAGGGCAGGGAGTGGAGCACAGTGAGGACAGAGGGTGTCCGACAGGGAGCAGGGCAAGGGGCACACAGGGAGCAGGAAGGCTGTGGGGCAGGCAGGGAGCAGGCAGGGAGTGGGATTAGGGCCAGTGGGGCAAGCAGGACCCAGGCATGGAGCAGGAGCAGTGGGGCAGGCAGTGCGGCAGTGGCACAGGTACAGCATCAGGGCACTGGGGCAGGAAGGGAGGAGGGGCGGGCAGGGAGTGGGATGAGTGTGGGATGAGGGCAGTGAGGCTGCCAGAGAGCAGACAGGGAGTAGGAACAGTGGGGCAGGCAGCGAGGGGGCAGAATCAGGTTAGTGGGGCAGGCAGGACGCGGGGAGGGGGCAGAATCAGGGCACGGGGGCAGGCAGGACACATGGCATCGGGGCGGTGGGGCCGGCACGGAGCGGGCAGGGAGCTGGGAACGGGCAGGTGCGGGTGCGGCGGGGCGGGCGGGAGCAGGCAGGGCGCGGGATGGGGCTGTGAGTAGGGCTGGGTCCGTCCCCATCCCATCCCACCCCATCCCATTCCATGGATCGCATCCCATCCCACCCCATCCCATTCCATGGATCCCATCCCATCCCACCCCATCCCATTCCATGGATCCCATCCCATTCCATGGATCCCATCCCATCCCACCCCATCCCATTCCATGGATCCCATCCCATTCCATGGATCCCATCCCATCCCACCCCATCCCATTCCATGGATCCCATCCCATTCCATGGATCCCATCCCATCCCACCCCATCCCGTCCCCACCTGCCCACGGTCTGGTTGGCGAGCTGGCGCATGCGGTTGAATTGCTTCTTCATGGTGGCGGCGGTGCGGGCGGTGCGGGCGGGCAGCGGGGCCGGGGGCAGCGGGCCGCCCCTCCCGCATCCCCGCCCGGCGCCGAGCCGGGCCGGGCCGAGCCGAGCCGAGCCGGGCCGAGCGGGCCCCGCCGCCCCTGCGCCTCTCCGCGCCTCCGCCTGCGCTCCGCGCCCCCCGCGCCGCCCCGCACCGCCCCCGGCCGCGGCGGACATGGGAAATGTAGTCCGGGGCCGCCCGCCCCGCCGGGCTCTCGGGGCCGGGGGAGGGTCTCGGAGCGAGCCCGGAGCCGGGCATCCCCCCCGGCACCCCCCGACTTCCCCCCGGCATCCCTGGGCGTGGCCCCGCATACCCCCGGCATCCCTCAGCCTCCCCCGACATGGCCTCGGCCTCACCTGGCGTGGCCCCGGCATCCCCCTGGCACGCCCAGCGTCACCTGGCATCCCCCCGGGTCCCGTGACGCGGCCCCAGCGCCGCTCCAGCATCCCCCGCATCCGCCCGACATCACCTCGGTGTCCCTCGGCACGGCCCCGCATCCCCGGCAACCCCCGGCATGTCCTGGGGCAGCTTCCCGAGCTCCCGTAGCCCTTGCAGCCCCCGGCATCTCCTGGCATCTCCTCGGACAGCCCTTGCAGCCCCCGCTCCCCCCCGCACCCCCATCCCCGCTGTCCCAGCCCCTGGGGCTCGCACCCGCGGCACTGAGAGAGCCGCAGAGCAGCCCAGGAGCCCCGGGCAGGGCAGCAGGAGCCGGTCACAGCCGGGGCACCCCTGTGCAGGGGCATGGGGCTGAGAGAGCCGGGCTCCTGCTGCAGGAACCCGAAGCCTCTGCTGATGCCCAGTGTGGGCCCTTCCCTCCCTGGGACGGTGTCCAGGGGGCCCTTCCTTCCCTGGGATGCCGCTGCTGCCCCACACGGCTCTCACGATCTGGGAATGTTTGAGAGCCAGGCACTCCTGGCATCTCCCCTGGCACCAGCTGCTGCAGGCTCAGCACTCCTCTCCCCGATTTTCCATTCTAAATTGCACCATGACTGCGGGATGGAAAAGGCAGATATTTTACGGTGTCCGGGGGTGGGAAGGGAGTTCTGGCTGCTTTGAGGAGGGACGGGGAGCAGCACGGCTCGGAGCCGTGGTTCCCAGCACGGTGCCACCAAGATGTTCCTTGCACGGGCACAGGAAGGGTGACACTCACGGACAGCACCGAGCAAATCCCCGTAGGACACAGGGACACAGAAACTCTGCCCAGCTGCCCCTGGCCCGGAGGCAGCTCCAAATCCCCGTCAGGGCGGATCCTCTCCGCCCTCCGCAGCGCCGCGCTGCCAATAAGGTCAGTCCGAGCGCCTCTGGCTCCCTCGCACGGTGACAGGGCTGTCCCCTCCCGTCCATCCCAGCATCTCGGGGCCGCTGAACCTCCAAGATGCGATCGCGGCGGCCCAGATGGGTCAAAGCCAATTAACGTCAGGGCAGCGAATTTCAGCGCAAAGCGTGTGGCAGAGCAGCGCCGGCGAGAGCAGCGCTGGCCCAGCCGCGGGGGCAGAGCAGGCTCCTCCTGCCCGCAGCATCCCTCCCGCCCCGCAGCTTCCCTCCTGCTCCTCCCGCTCCCTCCTGCTCCTCCTGCTCCCTCCTGCTCCTCCTGCCCTGCATTCCCCCCTCCTGTCCCGCACCATCCATCACTCCTGCCCTCACCCTCCCTCTTGTGCTCACCCTCCCTCTTGTCCTCACCCTCCCTCCTGTCCCGCACCCTCCGTCCTGCCCCTCCTGCTCCCCGGACAGCCACCAGCTGCTGTCCCAGCCCCCCGGCCTCTCCTCAGGCTGGGCACCGTGGGGTGCAGGCAGCAGGAACCTCAGCTCAGCCGTGCTGCTGCCACCCCAGCAGCCCAGGGTGTTCTCCCAGCACAAGGGAGCTCATGGCCTTCCCACAGGCTGATAAGCTCCCTGAGAGAGGCTTTAATCACATTTCCCTGTTTGTTGCTCCAGGAGACAGAGATAATGAAGGGTGGGATGGAAGCGGTGTCTGTGCAATCCCTGCATCAGGAAAACGGGGAAAGGGAGGAGGGGAGCAGCGGGTGCAGCTGGGGAGCTGCTCCCACCCCTTATCCCTGGTGGGGGACAAGAGACCACCAGCAAACCCCTGCTCTGTCCTGGCTGAGCTGTGCTGGAGCACGAGCCTTCAACCTCTGCAGGATCCCATCCCATCCCATCCCATCCCATCCCATCCCATCCCATGGATCCCATCCCAGGGGGCACCAGGCTGTGCACTCCGTGTTTCAGTCCCTGTACACTGTGAATTGCCCCGCACCAGGCAGGAGTGGATTCCCTGGCAGCACGGCTCCCTGCCCGTGCTGCAGCATCCCCTGCTCCCCTCTCCCGGCTGGAGCTGCCATCTGCCACCTGGCCCAGCCGTGCCCGTGGCACCGGTGACAGATGGCACCGGAGCTGCCCCGCTCGGCCCGGGGCTGTGCCTGGTCCCTGCCTGCCCCAGGGCTCCCTGCCCTGTCCCCATGGCTCCCTGCCTTCCCCAACGCTCCCTGCCCTGTCCCCAGGGCTCCATCCTCTGGGAGGGCGGACCCGGCCCGTGAGAGCAGCGGCAGAGCCGGCAGAGCCTCTCGTCCCCCCGCAGTCCTGTGAGTGGTTTGTGGGGTCGCACAGGGCACACCGAACCCCCCTGAAGTCCTTCCTACAGGTTTGTAGGGTCGCACACCGAGGCTCACCCTGCCCGCCGGGGCTCCCGGCCCAGCCCCCAGAGCTGGCACCGGGCACAGAAATGAGGAAGGTTCTGGCATTCCCGGCCCTGGAGCAGCTCCTGGTGCCACCGGCAGGGACGCGGGGCCGTGCCCGGTGCCCAGCCCGGTGCCCAGCCCGGCTCCCCCGGTGCTGCCTTTCTCCCGGAGCTGATGGGAGGGTGAGAGCATCACCCCCACCAGCGTGGAGTGCTGATTTCCCCTCATTGAATGGACGCATTTCAATGAGGTTTATGGATGCGATAAATACACAAACGGGGAGCAGAGGAGCTCTGTGTCCCGGACAAGGACCCAGGGTGTTTGCCAGGCAGCAGAGAGAAGGGGGGATTTCTTGTCCTCTCTGTAATTATTGCAGGAAGGTGAGCAGCAGGACAGGAAGGTTTCAGGGCAGGGCAGCTGCTCTAAGGAATCCTCTGTATTCCACATCCTTGGGTGATTTCCCAGCAGCTCCCTGACATGGGCTGGGATCCATCTCATCCCCAGGGACACGGGAGCGTGGCAAGGCTCGGCTCATTTCCATGAGCACAGGGCAAACTTTGCCCTCTCCAAACATGGCTTAGGAATAGAGCCGTGTTTCTGGAGACGTGGGAGCAGGGCCCGGGTCCTGCGAGGAGCGAGGGCTCAGGGAGAGCTGCAGGCTCCTTTCCTGGAATTGCACCCATCATCCAGACCCACCACAAGCCCCTGCTGCAGCCAGCCTTGCTCTCCGGGGAATTACAGCAGGGATAAATGAATGAATGCTGGCTAATTAAGCAATTAATTACTGCCTGCTCTGTGGGCAGTGCCTGGTGCAGCTGCAAAGCTCCCAGAGCCGCCCTTCCCTCCTCACACCCGTGACCCCTCGGATGGGCAGCAGGGGAAGCGGGGGGGGGGGGTCGGAAATTGAAATGCTGTCGGGAGGTTTAATTATCTCCATCACTTGTCACCCCGGGCGCGGCGCTGGGGATGGATCGCTCCCTGCCCGGGCTGGATTTCTGCCCGGGGGCAGAGGGGCTGTGCCCGCGGGCATGACCCGCTCCAGCGGGGCATTCCCGAATGTGAGCACATCCCTGGCATCCCGCTGGCCTCGCACCGAGTCAGTGACCCCGGGCATCCTGCCTTGGTGGGCACGGCTCCGGGGGGTGAGGGATCCCACGGGAACTGGGGAGGGATCCCGCAGGCACTGGGTGGGGAGGGATCCCGGCTGCCTGTCCCTGATTAACCATTACTCTTCCCATGCCTGTCCCCAATGCCAGGATCGTGCTCTGCTATGCTGTGCCACCCCTGTACACATCACTGCTGCTGCTGCTCCATCACATTAAAACCAGCAGCCGGTGTTTGATGATATTTATTGAGGGAAAGTGAGGATTGCTTCATCTTCCTCTTGAATTATGTCTTCCTGCTTGGGAAGAGCGGACACAGAACTTCCTGGCTGCCTCACACCCACAGCAGGTCCCACCCCTGGTGTCCCACAGGGCTCCCAGAGCCCCCTGAGATGTTTCATGGACCGGGAGAAATGTGCTGGTTTAGTTGGGATGTGGAGCTGGAGGAAGGAAGGGACAGCACTCCTGTGCTGAGCCCCAGAGGGTGCAGGGCTGGACCCGCAGGTACCAGAGCCCAGAGCCCCACTCAGTGCCCAGGGCTGTCACCAGAGCTGGGACATCAGTGGGATGACAGCCCCAGGGCTGTGACAGGGACGCTGGCACCACGCTGCCCTGCAGCTCCCTGGCAGCCAGCAGGGTGACACTGATGACAAATGACACTGGGCCTGCAATTACAGCCAGGCTGTGCTCAGCCAGCGCTGCTGCATTATTGAGAGCAACCAAAAATACTCCCAGCTCAGACATTACGGGGTCTGGGCCTCATGGTGAGCGGCTGCCAGGGCTGCCTCAGCCTGGGCTGGCAGAGGGGACCGCCTGGAATGTGCTGGAGGTGTTCACACATCCTCCATCCCACAGAGGTGAGCAGAGCACCTCGGAGGGTTTGGGATGCCCTTGGAAAAGTGGCACTAGGACAACATCCTTTGCCTTGGTGTCATTGTCACCTCTGGGCCTGGCTGCTCCAGGGGAGTGCCCCAGGTCAGGCTCCTCTCTGCCAGCACCACAGAATTCCCTCTGCTGAGGGGCTCCTTCCTCAGCAGGGACCAGCATGGACCTGAACCTCCTCCCTGTTCTCCCCTAGGAGGAATGCCATCCCTTCCTGGGAGCTGCTCTGTGCCCAGCTAGCTCAGCCCAGCCGTGGGGTGACTGTGCCTGTGCCAGATGTGCTCATGTGCAGCCAGATGTGCAGCTGCTCAGAGCAAGATGCGCAGGGAGGAGTTAACCCACACCTCCAATAACCACACCACCTTGGGCTGATGTTCCTCCAAAGCCCAAGAGGAGCCCCAAAAGATATCAGAAAAAAATGTTTTTTTCTATTTTCTGATCCATTTTCCACCAGGAAGGAGTTTGATGGAACACTGTAACCCCCAGGTGTGTGGCCAGGCACAGCGTCCCCTCTGCCACTCGCTTTACCAGAACAGCCTCTCCTGGGTCATTGCCCTGGTGAGCAGGGCAGTGACCCACAGGGCAGCGACAGCCCGGGACATGAAAGGCTGGGCCAGGACAGTGACAGTGACATCTTCTCCTGCCGCGTGCTGCAGCACGGGAGCACCGGGCAAAGGTGACTCAGCGGCACGGGCAGGGACAGTCCTGCCGCCCCAGGGCTCCGCGGGGTCACCGAGCTCCCGGTGCCCAGGACGGCTCCGAGCCCGTGTCACAGCCCGGCGGGGACAGGCGTGGCCGGGACACAGCAGCGCCTCGGGTCCCGAGCAGCGCCGAGCCCCCGGAGCTCTGCACGGCCGTGCTGCACCGAGCAGGGAGGGCACACACAGCCGCCTCTGCTCCGCTCTCTGTGCACTTTCCTCCCCGGAATTCCTTCGTTTCTTTCCCTGCTCGGCAGCGCGGTGAGGATGGACGCCGAGCTGCTCGTCACTCCGCTCTTCCTCCTCCTCCTCCTCTCCGTCCTGTGGCTCCTGGTCTGGCGGAGTGACCCCAGGAGGAGCCAGCTGCCTCCTGGCCCAGCCCCGTGGCCCATCCTGGGCAACCTGTGGCAGAAGGATGTGCTGCCCCTCTACAGGCACTACGAGAAGGTAAGGGACAAGGGACAAGGGACGAGTGGCCGTGCTGGACCCATCTGCAGGACAGCAGGACAGACAGCGGGAAAGTCCCATGCCAAAATAAAAGGGGAGTCCCACGAGTGACTCTTCCTACCTTTCTTTTCTCTTCTTCCCTTCCTCATCTCCTGCTCTACCAGAATTGCCTAAATCCCTTCCGCTGTGGCAGAATCAGCCCTGTTATTGAAGCCTTTCTCCTGTAAGGCATTCACGTGGTGACAATGCCCCTCGAGGGCTGCAGTGCTGCTGCTGTCCAGAGCTGCTCCTGGAGATGATGCTCTGAACCCCCAAAGGGGCACTGGGATAAAACCCACAGGGACAGGGACAGGGACAGGGACAGGGACAGGGACAGAACAGGGCTGGGACAGGGACAGGGACAGGGACAGGGACAGGGACAGGGACAGGACAGGGACAGGGACACGGACAGGGCTGGGAGTGGGATAAAGTCACATCTTTGAGGGAGGCATTTCCCCTCCCTGCTGGGCATTCACCAGTGCTGTGGGCTCCAGTCCCAGTTTGAAATGAAGTCAATGAACTGGTGTGGGACCATGGCTGACAGAGATGCCCATCCCCAGCTCAGCAGCACCTACGGCCCCATCTTCACCGTGTGGCTGGGGCTGAAGCCGGTGGTGGTGCTCTGCGGGTACGAGGTGGTGAAGGACGCCCTGGTGGGACACTCTGAGGAGTTTGGGGGCAGACCCTCCATCCCCCTCCTGATGCAGCTCTCCAAAAACTATGGTGAGTGCCTGGGCCTCTCCTGGATCCATCTGGGTGAGCAGATGGCCACACCTCTAGCCCAGGGAAGGGCTCAGCACCCAAGAGCTCAAACACCCATTTCCTGCTCCACAAGACCCTTAAATTCCTATGACAAGGGCAAGGACAATATTAACTCCAGCTAGGCAGTTCCAGCTCTATTCTGAGCTGCTGCAGAGATCCTCATCCTTTCATGGACACTGTGCACACCCATATCATCCCCTGGCTCATTGCTCTGCTGCTCCTCAGAGCAGGGTTCCCACTCCTGGGGAGCAGCAGGGAGGGCAGGGGCTGATCTCCTCCCTGTCCCCCCAGGATTTGTCTCTGACAATGAGAAGAAGTGGCGGGAGCTGCGGAGGTTCACGCTCAGCACCCTGCGGGACTTTGGCATGGGGAAGAGCTCCATGTCCCAGAAGGTGCAGCAGGAGGCTCAGCACCTGGTGGAGCTGCTGGCAAAGCTCAAAGGTGACGTGGCTCCTGGCCCTGCTGGCCTTGTGGCAGGCAGAGGACACACTAGAGCCCCATGGGACATGTGGGGCCCCAGGCTGTTTGCAGGGCCTGGTGTGGGTGATCCATGCAGGGGAGGGCTGAGATCCAGCCCCGCCCCACACAGGAGCTGCAGAGACGTGCTACAGGCACGGCTGAGGGGCCAGGAGGGAGATCTGCTCTGAACCGGTGCAGGGAGGGCCCAAACCGAGGAGCATTCCCTGCTGGAAGAGCAGGAATAGGGAACAGACCTGTGTGGGCTGGGGACGCCCGGCTAGGACACTGCCCTCAGGCTTATCAGGGTGATCTCCTCCTCTCCAGCAACACCCAGCTCCTGCCAACACATCTCCTGGGGCTTCCTGCAGGTGCCTGTGCCTCCCTCAGTCCAAGCTGTGGCAGGGGAGGTGGATGGATGGATGGATGGATGGATGGATGGATGGATGGATGGATGGATGGAGGAGCCCCCAGCTCAGGAGGGCTCTTTTCTGTGCCTACCAGGCCCCACAGATCAGCCAAGGTCCAAAAGCAGGGGCTCAGAGCGGGGGGAAGGGGTGTTTTCTGTCTTGAAGCAAATAAATAACTGGTGACTTTTGGTGCTTTTCTCACCCCTGGTGGCTGCAGGAAATGCCTTTGAGCCCATGACCTTGTTCAGACACGCCGTGTCCAACGTGATCTGCTCCGTGGTGTTCGGGAGCCGCTACAGCTACAGCGATGCGGCGTTCCTGGAGCTGCTCAACGCCGTGGGGAACTACGTCAGCTTCTTCCTGTCCCCCGTGGCCAAGGTGGGAGCCCGCTGTGCTCAGCACCCTCTGCCTGCTGCCCCAGGGGCTGAGGGTGATCCCTGCCTTGGGGGGACAGCATGGCTGTGAGGGACGGGTGGGGAACCTGAGCTGTGCTGTGCCCACAGGTGTACAACACCTTCCCCAGCATCATGGACCGGCTTCCGGGGCCGCACAAGAAGGTTCTGGCTGACTGCCAGAAGCTGAAGGACCACATCCAGGAGAAGGTGCAGTTCCACCAGCTGACTCTGGACTCCAGCTGCCCCCGGGACTACATCGACTGTTTCCTGATCAGAGCAGAGAAGGTAGAGGGGGGGCTGCCCTCCAGCCTGGCTGCAGCCTGCAGGATCACCCAGACAACCCTGAGCCCCTCCCCACCACACCTTCCAGGAGAAGGGCAGCCCAGAGACCATGTACAGCCACGAAGACCTGATCATGTCAGTGTTCAGCCTCTTCGGGGCCGGGACGGTGACAACCAGCAACACCCTGGTGTTCTTCCTGCTGATGCTGGCAAAGCACCCCCACATCCAAGGTACAGCAGCAAACACAGCTGCTCCTGTGCCTGGGGTGCTCATGGGGCAGAGGGTCCCAGCCCTGGAGGGTCCTGTTTGGGGGCAGACAGGACCCAAATCATCCTGTGGATCACCCGAGGGTGGGAGCTGTTAGACCCAGACTCCCACAGGCCAGGGGATCCTGGCGCTCCTCCTGTGCTCCATCCCTGCCCGTGCAGATGGCCCTGGACCATGTGGGAGATGCTCTGAGCTTGCCTGGTGCAGGGAGGGATGAGGGCAGCGACTGTTCTGGGCTTTACAAGGGATTAGGGCAGGCTGCTCCCCCTCTAGCCCACCCCTGGGTTTAGGGAAAGTGCCCGTGGAGGCCAATAAGAAACCCTGGGGAAGTTGCAGAGCAGGCACCCAGCCCCCTGCTGTCCCCAGCCAAGGTCCAGGAGGAGATCGATGCCGTGGTGGGCTCTGGCCGTGCCCCCAGCACGGAGGACAAGCTGAGGATGCCCTACACCAACGCCGTGATCCACGAGCTGCAGCGCTTCCACAAGACCCGCATCGAGAACTTCCCGCGCATGGCAACGCAGGACGTGCTGTTCAGGGGCTACACCATCCCCAAGGTACCAGGCTGGCCCTGGGGAGAGGTGGCAGCGGGGCTTCAGGGCCATTTGCCTTTGTCCTTGCACTGTTTGCTCACGTCTGGAGGCCCCGGGTGTTTCCCAATCCCGGTAGCAATGACCTCTCAGAGGGGAGTAGAGGTACGTGAGTGGGCCTGTCCTGCCCACAGCCCGGGGCCCTTCCTTGCCCATCCTGGAACACAGCTCTTCTCCCCATGGAGCCGTGCAGGGCTGCGGGGCTGGAGCAGGAGCCCAGCCTGGGGAGGGGCCAGGCCAGAGCCCCCAGCTCTCGGCAGAGGTGGGGACGGCTACCCCTCCTGTCTGACCACGAGCACTGTGCACAAAACCCACCCTGAGGGAACAGCTCCTGCCTTTGGGTTTGGGGCAGTGAGAGAGGCTTTAACAGAAATCCACAGGAATAACTCAGCAATTTGTGTCCCATGAGCTGCACAGAGGCTGGCAGGACCATGGGGACCATGGGGACACCAGAGCCCCATGTCATTTGTCCCAGTGGCACAGAGCCACCAATGGGAACCTGCTTGGGTACTGGGGTGCACACCCAGCCTCCCCCGTGTTCCCTGGATGCTCCCCCCTGACTAATCCACCCCAGCAGAGCCCAGGCATGGCACTGATGTCCCATCCCTGCCCCATCCCTCTCCCACAGGGCACTCCTGTCATTCCAGTCCTTTCCTCTGTGCATTCGGACCCAACCCAGTGGGAGAACCCCAAGAAAGTGGACCCCGCACACTTCCTGGATGAGAAGGGCGAGTTCAGGAAGCGCGAGGCCTTCATGGCGTTCTCAGCAGGTCAGCACTGCCCCACCCTGCCAGCTCCGTGCCCAGGAGTGCCAGCACGGGCACCCAGTGGCACCACAGTCCCCATGGGTACCTGCCCACCCTGCTGTCCCCTCACTCCCCATGGGTGCCTGCCCACCCTGCTGTCCCCAGGTCCCCATGGGTGCCTGCCCACCCTGCTGTCCCCAGGTCCCCATGGGTACCTGCCCACCCCGCTGTGCCCCCGTTCCCCCTGGTCACCCCTCTCTCGTGCCCAGGGAAGAGGATGTGCCCGGGGGAGGCGCTGGCCCGCATCGAGCTCTTCCTGTTCCTCACCACGCTGCTGCAGAGCTTCACCTTCCAGCTGGCCACGGAGCACAGGGAGCTGGATCTGTTCTCCCTGTGGCTCGAGATCGAGAGCAGGGCGATCCCGGGCAAGTTCTTCGCTCTCCCACGCCCAGTGTCCCCCTAAGCTGGGAGAGCAGGACCAGGGAAGGCTCTCCAGGTGCCTCCACCCCTGCCCCGCAGCGAGCCCTGTGGCTACAAGGGCACAGCCACCACAGCAGGGACACTTTGGGCTTGGAGCTTCACCTGTGAGAATTGTCAGGCACCTGTGCCACCAGCTCCACAAGCTGCCTGCTCCCAGCCCTTCCCTCCCCATGCCAGGAACACGAGGAAGGTGGCAGTGCTTCTCCTCCCCATCCCCATCCCATCCCATCCCATCCCATCCCATCCCATCCCCATCCCATCCCATCCCATCCCATCCCATCCCATCCCATCCCATCCCCCTGTTTGAGCTCCTCGTGGCAGGGCTGTCTGGGGCTCCTGGCCAGGCAGGGGCTCCCTCAGTTTGGTGAAGGATTCAGAGCAATAAAAATCACCATCACAACAGGATGCAGGTGTTTACAAGAACACTTGTGGTGCCTCTTGCATCTGGTTCTTCCCAGCACAAGCCTCCCAGACACAGGATTTCAGCTCCATGGCTCTTCCTGGGGTGCCTTCACCTTTCCCAGAACAGCTCGAGCCAGAAAATCACCCAGGCATCAATCCAATGTCCCTGCCATGGTACGGACACCTCCCACTGTCCCAGGCTGCTCCAGCCCCAGTGTCCAGCCTGGCCTTGGGCACTGCCAGGGATCCAGGGGCAGCCACAGCTGCTCTGGGCACCCTCACAGAGAAATTTCTGCCCAGTGTCCCATCTAATCCTGCCCTGTAGCAGTTGGAAGTCACTCCCTTTGACCTGTCACTTCAGTTCTTTGTCCCAAGTCCCTCTCAGCTCTCTTGGAGCCCCTTGAGGTTCTGGAGAGGGCTCTAAGGTCTCCCTGGAGTCTCTTCTCCAGGCTGAACAATTCCAATTCTCTCACCTTCCAAAAACACACCCTTGCTATCTCATTGCTGGGCTGTGCTTCTCTGATTCCTGCACACCAATATTGGAATTGCCCTCAGGAGCCAGCCAAGCTCCGTGTGCAGCTCTGGGGTCACCCTGGGGGTCCTGAGGGGAGCAGGCAGGGTGGGCTGTGCTCCCAGCCCTCCTGTCCCCCCTGCCTGGGGTGAGGGTGCTGAGAGGTGTTGTGTCAGCACTGGGGCTTGGGGACCCTGCAAAGCCTGGGATTTCAGGGTATGGGGGAAATTGGGGTTCCCAGGGGTCTCAGAGCTGGTTTTGGTGGGATTTGCCTTGCTGGGGTGCTCCTGCAAGCATGGAGGGGGGACAGCAGGGACCCTGCCCTGGGTGGGGTGGCTGTGCCCTGCTGCAGGGAGGTGGCATCAGGGCCCAGTTAATTCTGGGTGCCTTGTCCCAAATGATGCACAAGCCAGCCTTTACTCTGACTCTGAGTGCGTTTGTGACCTTTGCATGACTAAATCAGCTCTTTTATTAATCTGGGGAAGCTCAGGCAGAGCCGCCTGCCAAAAACGTGTGTGACCAAAGCCTTGGCTCACCCTCTGCTGGAGCCCTGGGTCAGCACTGTGCTGTGAGCTGGGTGACCTCTGGGCTCCTGTGTGTAAAGCCAAACAGGCGTCCAAAGGCCACCCGTGCTCTGCTTCCCGGGGTGTTCCAAGCCACTTGTGCCACTGCCCGGCCCAGCTGTGCTCGGGGCTGGCACGGTGCCCTGCTCTCGGCGCAGGTGCCCATCCCGGGGGGCTGCTGGCATCCCCTGGCACTCTGACATCCCCCAACATCCCCTGGAACCCAAATAACCCCTGGCACCCCAATATCCCCTGGCACCTGCCTTCACCCTGACATCCCCTGGCACCCCAATATCCTCTGGCACCTGCCTTCACCCTGACATGCCCATCACCCCGACATCCCCTGGCACCCCACTATCCCTCAACATCCCCCATCACCCACCATCCCTCGACATGCCCCGTCCCCGCCCGTGCCCGGCTGTGCCCGCTGCGGGGCTGTGCCCGCGGGCTCCCGGCAGCCTCACGGGGCGGTTGGAGGTTCCGGTAACTGCCGCGGCGGGGCCGGTGCCGGTGGAGGGGAGCCCCGGGCAGGTGAGGGTGAGGAGGGTGAGGAATCCCTTCCTTTCCTTCTGAATTCACAGCTCCGGCCGTACTCGTGCTGCCGGAAATGGAGCGGCTGAAGGCAGAGGCTTCCCCCTGCTCTCAGCAAAGCGGTGCCATGTCCTTGGCACGAGTGGCCCTGCTGTGTCCCCTGGGACTGTCACCTCCCGTGCTGATCCCGGGGCTGTCACCTCCCGTGCTGATCCCTGGGGCTGTCACCTCCCGTGCTGATCCCGGGGCTGTCACCTCCCGTGCTGATCCCTGGGGCTGTCACCTCCCGTGCCCGTCCCCTGGGGCTGTCACCTTCCCGTGTCCATCCCCTGGGGACTGTCACCTCCCGTGCTGATCCCTGGGGCTGTCACCTTCCCGTGTCCATCCCCTGGGGACTGTCACCTCCCGTGCCCGTCCCCTGGGGCTGTCACCTCCCGTGCCCGTCCCCTGGGGCTGTCACCTTCCCGTGTCCATCCCCTGGGGACTGTCACCTCCCGTGCTGATCCCTGGGGCTGTCACCTTCCCGTGTTGTGTCCATCCCCTGGGGACTGTCACCTCCCGTGCCCGTCCCCTGGGGCTGTCACCTTCCCGTGTTGTGTCCATCCCCTGGGGCTGTCACCTCCCGTGCTGATCCTGGGGCTGTCACCTCCCGTGCCCATCCCCTGGGGGCTGCCTCTGTCCTGTCCTGCTGAGCAGGAGTGCTCCCAGCCCTTTTCTGTCACTTGCACAGAGCCAGAGTGAGGAGTTAAAAACCACGCAGCCCTCCCAGGGCACTGCTGGCAGCGGTGCTGTCCGTGCCACCAAAACTCGAGCTCTTCAGCACTGTAAATTCCCTGTTTTCCAGGTGGCCGAGCACCAGAACGTGCCTTTGACCCCAAGGCACTGAGTGCCCTGCCAGGAAGGTCCCGATGCAGGGGCCAGCTCACCTTTGTCCCCAGCTGGTGCAGATGTCACCATGGCTCCCGCGTCGCTCCCACCAGGCTCTGATGGCAGCCAGCACAAGGACTTCACCCGTGCCCTGCCATTCCAGCTGTCCATGGCCATCCTGGGTAAAGCTGCTCTGATTTTCCAGGGCTTTCCCCTAAGGGGAAGGAAAGGTTTCCAGAGGGGATCAGCCAACCTGTCCTTTAACTTCCCAGGGCTTTTGGATCAGAAATCCCTGGATGCCTGCTCTGCTGTGAATGGTCACTGGGCGTTCCTGGTCAGGCGGGCCCGGGAGGACAAGGCGTGTCAGAACACAGTCCAGAAGAACCTCCTGCAGATGCAGGTGAGACACCTGTGCTCCTGCCATCATTATGCACTTTAAAACCAGAGGGGTTTTGTGCTGCCCAAGCTGTTAAATGGGAACTCCTGTACCAGAGGCTGCAACCCAACTCTGCCATGGCCCTTCCACTCCAGAGCAAAGTCAGGTGACACTTCACAGTGTCACAAGAACAGCTTTCAGTCTCCTTTAGAGAGCCTGAGACTCTAAAAATGCATCCAAGCATTCTTCAGGACAGCAGACTTTGGTCACAATGAAAATTTCCAGAGGTGGGGGAGGTTGGGCAGAGCTACAACAGCTCCCAGGGCAGCTCAGGATTGAGCTCCACATGCTCCACACAGGGCAAGGGAAATGCAAGGGGTCTGGAGGAGCTGGGGGCCATGGCTGGAACACAGCAATGCAGAACTCTGGGACAGGCCTGGCCCGGCCAGCAGGACCTGCCACAGAGTGAGGTGTGAAGGAGCTCTGGGCTCAGCTCTGTGCTGGCCTTCACAAAAGGCTTCAGGGAAGGTTTCACAGGCTAAAAACGAATCTCGAGTGTTGACTGAGGTGTTTTGAGAGCCTCCCATCTCAGTGGGTTTGGATTCTGAATCAACTGAGTGCCTGCCAAAGATGAGATGAGCTCAAAATTTTGCTGCCTGTTAAAACCTTAAGACTAGACTGTGGAAAAAAATAATAAAACGCAATTATTTTTCACCGGAAGTTAAACCTGAGGTGGATAGAGTGCTAAATGTAAGCCAGGTCTCAATGAGAAGGCAGAGTGTGCAGCTCAGCCTTGCAGGGAGCCCCAGCATCCGAGGAGAGGAGCAGCACACCCTGCCAGCGTGGGCTCTGCAGTGACTCCTGCCTCTGTTGGTTTATTCCAGGAGTTGTGTCCTAGAAAAACCATGCCAAACTATGCTAAAAGAGTCGATGTGCAAATTCCCCAGCTGAACGATGAGGGTGAGGTCACTGAAGTGAAGGACAAGGAGCAGAAGAAGAGGCGTAAATCCAAGGTTTGTTGGATGCTGCATGTCAGTGTTTGGGGAGGAGAGAGCTCGTGGGAGACAGCACAGTGAATTTGGAATTGCTTTGTTCTTCCCCACTCCTGCCTTTGGATTGCCCCATCCTGAGCAGTTCATAGGGACCAGGGCTCACTCAGCACCTTCCCACATGGGAGGGAGTTGGGGAGACATTCCCAAACTTCTGCCTCATCCCTGTGTGTCCCCAGCCATGGCACAATCCTGGGGCCAGGGCTCTCTTCCCTCAGAATAAAGGGTGCAGCTCTCAGGGCTTCCATTTATGCCACAGAACACGGCCTGGGAACAACTCTGGACTGAGCAGGTCTTGCTGCACTCTGGTTTTCCTTACTCTGGGCTCATCCCTAGAGCTGCTAGGTTCAATACTATGGAATAATGCTGCATTCCTGCCTCTCTGAGTTACTTTTCCTTATTTCCCTTGCCATCAGACAGAGGATTTGGGTCTGCAGGAAGCCTATCGGGAACTGAAAACTGACAAGATCGAGCTGGAAGAGAGGAATGTCTTCTGTGGCCCCTACAAGACCCGTGTCCTCATGGAGCAGTGAGTAGAGTGCCCAGCTGCAGGGCCAAGAGCAGCTCTAGGAAAGCTGTTCCATTCCCTGTGATCCTCCTCCTGGACGGCTGAAGGGTCCCTCTGCATCAGTATTAAGAAATCTTCATTTTTTCAATAAAGGTGCCAAGATAAGCTGTTTTCAAAGGAATAAGTGTTGGTGATCCATGGTGTATCCCAAGGGATATGGGGCTGGGAGGAGCCCTCCCCGCTCTGCCCACCCTGATACAAAGGGGGATGTGCAGATTTAGGGGCTGTGGCGGTGCCCTGCAAAGGATTCACCAGCAGAGCTCTGCCCACATGCTCAGCTGAAGGCAGGGCAGTGCTAAAGCTCACCCAGGCACTGTCCCTGGCAGGTGTGACAGCACAAGGAGAGCCCACTACAGCGGTGGGCACTGGGTGGCTGCTGGCAGCAGGAGGCTGAGGCTGCTCCGAGTGCCGGGAGGGAAGGAGGAGCTGCTGCTGCACAGCCACGCCGGGCTCATCAGAGCCCTGTGCCTGCGCGAGGACAGAGGGATCCTGCTCAGCAGCGCCAGCCTGGAGCTCAGCATCAGGTGAGCTGGGACTGTGCCAGGACACCCAGCCTGCCACACTGATGGGAGAGGGAAGGACAGGGGCAAACGTTAATGCTGAGCCTGACCTGACCGCTGCAACTGCTCTGACACCTCAGTGGAACAGCTCCTGATTTTAACCTGGTGTGGGGAGCAGAGTTGGGCACGTTAAATAGGAAATAATAATGGAATAACATGGAAGCAACCTAAAGTTCTCCTCTCTGTAGGTGCTGGAATATTCACAGTGGGGCCTGTGTGAGAACCTTCACGGGTCACTATGCGACCATCAGCTGCCTGCATTCCCACCAGGAGCACCTGGTGTCAGGAGCTGGGGATGGTATGGTGAAAGGTGAGAGCACTGGGAGATGGGGATGGCATGGTGATAGGAGAACTGGGAGCTGGGGATGGTGTGAAAGGTGAGAGCTCTGGGAGCTGGGGATGGTATGGGGAAAGGTGAGAGCACTGGGAGCTGGGGATGGCATGGGGAAAGGAGAACTGGGAGCTGGGGATGGCATGGTGAAGGGGGAGGGACAGGAGCACTGGGACCCTCCAGCCACAGGGAATCACTGCAGAACCATGGGCAGGGGGCTGGGGAGAGTGGCACACCGGAGACATGTGCACACACAGTCTCTGATTGTGTCAGGGACTAAATTCTCATTATTTCTGCTTTTATTCAGAATTAATGGCTTTGTGGCTGTAATGCCATCCCAACTCTTGGGCAAGTGGCATCACCTTTCAGCTTTGCCAGATGTTTCCTTATAGAATAAAGGTGGAAAAGATGCGCTTTTTCTGGACTTCACATTTAAATTGTTTGCCATGCAATTATGGTTTTTAAGCCAACACTCAGCTCCTCACAGAGCTGCAGGTACAAGGTGTGACTGTAATCCAATAGTATTTTTAATGGATGTTGTACTCCCAAAACTCATCACTGGGGCAGATGCATTTTTAATTCTCCTTGCTGCCCCAGCAGTGTGGAGCCTGGAGAGTGGGAAATGCCTCAGGACCCTGATGCACAGCAGCCCTGTGGAGGCAGTGAGGATGGACGGGACCCACGTGGTCAGTGGGGGCCACCGAGGGCTGGTGAAGGTCTGGAGTGCTGAGACAGGGGCTCTGATCAAGGTGAGTTTCCTCTGGGGTGGATAATTCTGTGCTAAATGGTCACAACTCTCTGCTAGTTCATCACGGTTTTTTGCATTTGCCAAAGACTTTCTAAAAAAGAAAATAATCCCATGTAATAAAGATGGGAAAGGGATGTAATTCCATGCCAGGAGCTCAGCAGCAGCACCAAGCCCAGAACATTTCAGTGACTATAAAACAATCACAGTTATCCATGGGGGGCACTGGTACAACACCACTGTAAAACCATGTCAGGCTGGTGTCCTGAAAGCCATGGGACACCTCAGACAGATTTACATCCCCATTACTGATGTGTTGCACCTTCTGTTTTTACTTTGCAGACATTAGAGAGGCACCAAGGCCCAGTTCTCTGCTTGTCCTTTGACCAGTGGCACCTCGTCACAGGGGGCAGTGATGGATATGCCCTGGGATGGAGCATGCTGGGAAAATTCAGGAGATGCCTGATGGCTTTCTTCCATCCCAAGTAGGAATCAGATGTGTTTCAAGTTGTATTCAACAGTGGACTGAAACTGTAAAGAAAAAGTGCCCCTTACAGGACCAGAAAATGCCTTAATTACCATTCTGAGGATTTGAAATATCCCCACTAGCACCCATCTTTATCTCAAAGGCTCTGTCAGGCACCCTGTGGTCACAAGCAGCATTTTCAGTTAAGACCTGGAACAAGCTGAAATGCAAACCCACAACCCTTTATCACAACCAGGGATGACTAAAGGCAGACAGAGCACAGCCCAGTATTGCAAGGATCCCTTGCTGTGTGCCACAGGGCGTCACATCACCTGGGCAGGAATAGAGGTGGCCCAGTTTCATGCTGACCAACTGCGTGTTACGCCATCCTCTCGGACTTGAATTGTATCTAGAACTGTGAAAACTGAAGAATCGTACGGTTTTCATTGATTTTCCTGGACATAAAACTGAAATTTCAAATGCAGCAGATGGCCACGGCCATATGGTTGCTATGGGGAGCATGGAATCACAGAATCCCAGGATGGTTTGGGTTGGAAGGGACCTTAAAGATCACCTCATTCCAACCCCCTGCCATGGCAGGGACACCTTCCAGTGGGGGATGCACTGGGCTGTTGGTTTGGACATGGAGTGATCCGGGAGGTCTCTGTCAGACCTTTGCAATGCCCTGATCAGCTCCTCAGTGCAGGCTGATGCTGCAGCCAGAGCTCTGCTTCCCCTGCAGGCTGAAGGAGCTCGCTGACCATTTCTCCCCGTGCAAGCACCGTGGAAGTGCCAACTGGCCTGGTGTGTTTTCAGGGAAGTGCTGTCCCTGGAGTTCCTGTACCTCCGAGTCATCAGTGGCTGTGCTGATGGATGCATTCGGATATTCAACTTCCTGACTGGCACCTGCCTCCGAGTGCTGGAGCCCGGCGGCAGCGGGGACCCCGTGTCTGCTCTCTGTGTCGCAGGAAACAGGTGGGTGACAGCTGCTGCCAGCAGGCTCTGGCCCAGATTTTATGGATTACACTGAAATTTAAGGAACTGTGTGTTTTTTCCTTCTCACAAATAATTTTTAAAGGGCTCCACTATTTATTAACTGCTTCAATAACCTGCTTTAGTTCACAGTGGCTGAAAAGAATTCCTTAGTCTCTTCAGCAATGTACAATTTCCTATTTCTCTACAGCTGAAGATACAGACCAACTGTAAAGCTGAATTCAGAAATTCTTAGGAGGTTGGAGAATCAAGGCAATACCTGACAGTCCCTGCCTGTTCCCTGAACTACAGCCTTTTTGTAAAGGCCAATAATGAGAAATCCTTCCAGGTTCATTCACTTTTGCACCTCTAACTAAAGGTGGCTCCCAGTTACTGTGGAAGCAATGGGTAAAACATTGCTGTGGTTTGAGGGCTGGGTTGGCCACACTGTAAAACACAGCAATAAATGGGCAGCTATGAAGAAATTATTGCCACCCCAACCAGACCAGCACAGCCCTTCAATCCACACTTAGATGTCCCTGACAATATGGTATTTGTAGTTAGGTACTTCCATCCTTCAGCACTACTCTGATCTAGCTCTGTCCACTGCTGGAAATTTTCATCCCAATTATTTTAAAATTAATTTTGCCATGGAGCTGAATGAAAAGAGCACCAGAGACTCACACAGAGCACAAGTTAAACTGTGCAGTGTCTGATTGATGGGGTCAATTGCTGCTGCTCCTTCCAGGACAGATGCTGATCTCGGATCTGCTGGAGGCCCTGGGGTTTGTGTTGTACAGGAGCCCCTCAGGCAGGACCTGCTGTGTCTGTGATTGCTGTGCTTTTATGGCTCTCTCCTCCCTCCTGCAGGGTGGTGACCAACTCCCCCAGCAGGCTGCTGCTGCTCCAGTTCGAGGAGGTGGTGTGGGACTATTCCCTGCCCGCTGACAGAGAGGTGCCGAAGCAGGACAGGAGGTCCCAGAAAGGGAAGCGCCAGGGCACCAGTGCAGAGCCGCAGCGAGCTCCAGACAAGTCCCCAAAATCTCGCCAGAGACCAAAGAGCCTTGGAAAACCCAAAAGTATCACACTGAGCTTCTTCTTCTCTGGCTTTTCTAAACTGAGTAACAAACCAAGCAGCCACTGCCTCCAGCCCAGCCAATATTCAGACTGCTGTTGTCAAGAGCAGATGTGCTGCTCCATTTCAATGGTTCTGTCATTTTCTAGGCTTCTGTGGAACCTTTCCGCCTTTTTACAACGGTTTGGTGTAACTTCAACACATTTTTCAAGACAGGCACTGTCATTTTCCAAATGAGTAAGACAGAAATCAGTAGTAGTATTCATATTTGCACAGCTGGTGGGCTTGGAAACACGCTGCTGATTCAGGGCTTGAATTATTCATTGCAAACACCCGGGAAAGTGAGAGAGAGAACACCTACATTCAGGGTCTGCCATCACTGGGAAAGGCAACTGCCCAGAAACAGCCACCTTTTCAATTGTAACACAGTGATGTTATTTTGTTTTTAGTCAGAGCTATCCAATGCAGTGTGATGACAAATCCTCCAGCCACAAACTGAGTATTGCAGATGAAGTGATGGGCTGGGAAAAGGTTCCCGCTGTCCAGGCCAGCAGATGCCAACTGATGCTCTGCTTGGTAAAAGACAGGACCCAGGGAATGGCTGGAGCTGGGCCAGGGAGGGTCAGGCTGAGATCAGGAAAGGTTATTCCCCAGGGGTGCTGGCACTGCCCAGGCTGCCCAGTGGATGGGCACAGCCCTGAGGCTGCCAGAGCTCCAGGGGCCTTTGGACAGCGCTGCCGGGGATGCCCAGGGTGGGATTGCTGGGCAGGGCCAGGGGCTGCACTGGATGATCCCAGTGGGTCCTTCCCATCTCAGTTATTCTGTGATTCTCTGACTCTGTGCTCTGCAGTGTGTGGGAAAGCCTCTCAACCCCAAATGTGTTGCTTTGTTTCTGGCTACAGGTGATGAAGCTGAACATGGCTCTGCTTCCCCTGCAGCTGAGGAGGCAGAGGCCACTGTGGAGTGCGAGCTGCCCCAGAGAGACCCAAGGAGTCCCATGTCCCCCGACAAGTTCCTGCTGACCATCGGCACGCTGCAGAGCTCCTGCAGGGCCGGCGGTGGCAGCCGCAGCCCCAGCCTGCTCTCTGCCAGGGCCAGGGCAGCCCAGCAGCAGCAGCAGCGGCGCCCCGGGCAGCTGCCGGTGCCCAGGACGGCCCTGCAGCACCAGGAGGAGCGGGCAGCCCAGCTCCGGCGCGCCAGGCTGCACAGCCATTCGCGGGCTGTGACAAAAACCTCAACTCCCTTTGAAACCAAACTGCTGCTGCTCAGGCTGGAGAACTCTCTGCACAGCCCCGCTGTAAAATCCTCCATCCCTGCTCCCCGTGTTGTACGTCCCAAGCTCTGTGGCTCTCTGGGAAAATGGAGAACTCCCAGTGGCCGTGGGAAAGACACTCCTGGTCCCAAAGACAGGCATCAGCTCATCAATCTCTGCGCAGCTTCTTCAGAGCTGATCCAACCAACGCCTGGCACGGCTGCAGAGATGAGGAATGGAGGTCCCAGGAGAATAAAGCCCTCCTGTGCCTACACTTCCCGCAGGAACAGTGGGCTCAGGCTCCTGACAGCGGAGCAGGAGCTGCGTGAGGCAGCTGTGGCAGCTCAGCACCAGGCACAGCAGGCAAAGCCCACAGAACACAAAGACAGAGCCAGAAGGAAAGCCTGGCTGAGGAAAATTAAAGGCCTACCTGTGGATTCTTTTACTGGGGAGAGGAAAACACCTGCTCCAGAACTTGGGCATAACACATTTATCTGAGGTGATCCTCAGGTCTAGCCAACAGCCACGACCTGGGGTCTGGTGTCCAGCTGAGTCTGCCATGTGGCTTTAAGTATAAAATACAGATATATTCATTTATATACATTTAAGTATATTTAGTTTATTTAAGTGTACTCCCTGTGGTTTTAAAAACCAGTATAAAACACTGCTCCACTGTAAGTTTTCCTAAGTAATATTGTTGGTATATTCAGCCATTTGTCGAGGCAGTGAATGGACTGAGCCCTCTCCTGGATTTAACTCCCTAAACCTGCTGTTGTTACCAACATGGCACTGTCTGACACCAACACAGCTCAGGATGGGCTCAATCCTGTGAGAACAATAATAAAAACTTCTTATCAGAACTTCTGTGGATTGATTACGGTGTAGAAGCTGAAGGTGTGTGGACTGAAATCCGATGGATCAGTGGCACAAAGTCTGCTTGGAGGCCAATAACTGGGATTGATCTGGGTCTGATTTTGTTTAACATCACCATTAATTAATGCCCCGGACCACGGGCAGGGTGCCCTGAGGTGTCACTGACCCCAGAGAGGCACTGCCATCCAGAGGGACCCGGCCAGGCTGGACAGATCTGAGGGAACCCTGGGGAGGTTCCACAGGGAAGCTCCAGTGCTGCCCTGGGGAGGAACAGCTCCAGCCCCAGGAGCTGTGGGAAGCAGCTTAGACTTCATTTCTATGAAATGCAAAACAGGGTAAGGGGGTCAATCTCCCCATTTCTGTGGATAAATGCCTACATGTACTTGATTGCGGAAGGTTTCCTGTCCATGGCAGGGGGGTGGAACTGGATGGTCTTTAGGGTTTCTTCCAACCCCAACTACTCCATCATTTTGTGGTTTCCAATAATGCCGAGAACTTAACAGGATGACAAAAGCCTTTCTAGTATTTGAAAAACGCTATTTATCTAGCCTTGAGTGTCTGGGCGTACCAAAAATCTGTTGTATCAGAGGTTTGAGAGAGGCCAGTTCTGCCCATGGTCATGCCAAAGGGGCTTTCAGCAGCTGTTCTGGTTTGAAATTAAACTCTCTGAAACTGTCCCCACAGTGGGGCTGTGATTAGCGTTGGTTTGTTTAATTCAATGCCACCTTGGACTCGCAAACGCTGGGATGAAGCCAGCGAAAGTGACCGCGGGGAGGTTGCAGCTGGCGCGGCACAGGGACCGAGCCGCGGGGCGGCCGTGCCGGGCAGCATGGAGAGATGGATGACGGCAGTTCCTCCCAAGGAACGGGGATAAACCCACCCTGCCGCGGCACAGGGACCGTGCCACGGGGCGGCCATGCCGGGCAGGACGGAGCGATGGATGATGGCAGCTCCTCCCAGGGAACGAGGATAAACCCACTCGGCTGCGGCCAAGGAACCGCGCCACAGCCCGCGGGAAACGCGTCCCTCAATAAAGCCCGCTGGAAAAACACCATGGAAGGGCTGGTTCCTTTATGGCCACAGGGTTGTGTTCAACTGGGAGTCCGTACATCAGCACCTCCCTGCAGCTGTGGGCGCTCAGGCGCTAGCACCCCGGATCCCCCCGGGACCTTCCGGCGGTGCCGGTTCCCCGGGATCTCCCCACTCCCTTCAGGCCGTGCCGGTTCCCCGGGATCCCCTCAGGATTCCCCGGATCCCCTCAGCCGGTGCCGGTCCCTCAGGGTCCCCCCGGCCCCCTCAGGTGGTGCCGGATCCCGGGATGCCCCTGCTCCCCTCAGGGCCCCTCAGGGTCCCCCCTGCCCCCCCCGCTCCCCTCAGGGCCGTTGGCGGGAGCGGGGCCCGCCCCAGCCACGTCTCGGGTCCGGCTCCCGCTAGCGCGCACGCGCAGGGGGCGGAGCGGCCGAGCGGGGTCACTGGACGCACCGCGATTGGTCCGCGGCTGTGACGCGACGGCGGGGCGGAAGTGGCGGCTCCGACCATGGTGCGGGACCGGGACAGGGGGCTTGGCCATGGGACACGGGACCGGGAGCGGCATTCGGGCTGGGATCAGGGGCTTGGCCATGGGACACGGGACCGGGAGCGGCATTCGGGCTGGGATCAGGGACTTGGCCATGGGACACGGGACCGGGATCTCGGGACCGGGGCCGGAGCAGGGGCCTGGGCACGGATCATAGGATCCCGGAGCGGGATCCCCCTTCCCACAGGCCCCGGGCGAGCTGAGGGGCTCGGAGGCGCTTCCTGCCCTGACAGGCCCGCCCGTCCGTACCAAGGGCCCTGCGGGCTCCGCGGCCGTGACCGGCGGTGAGTGACACGGAGCGTGCCCGGCGCTGTGTGACACGGGCGGAGCTGCTGGCACCCACACCTCGGGGCTCGCTTCGCACCTCTGGGGCTCACAGCAGAGCGGCTTCTCTCAGTTCTCCGTCCTGGCCGCAGTCCCGGGCAGTGACTGTCCTGGAAGGCTCAGGAACAAAACCACTGCCCCAGCTGGAGTTGCGAGGCAAGGAGAGCAGGTGTCAGATGCTGTGTGCCAGAGCCAGATGTGCTCTTTCCACGCCTGGGAGCAGTGGGGTTTGTGATCAGCCCAGCTGCAGCTCACCAACCTGAGCCCCAATGATCATTTCTGAGATCACACTGTAGGCTTGTTTGTGGTTAAATCTTCACCTTCTTCCCAAATGAATTCTGATCCCAAGGTCCCTCTGTGGTTTTCTGGGTGATGAACACTGTCCCAGGCTGATGTTGAAAACTGTTTCATTTTTCTCCTGTAATCCTTTGCCTCTGCTCCCCACCTCAGGACAGCAGTGATGACATTGAAGATGTGTCTCTCTTTGACGCAGATGATGATGCATCCAGGAGATCCAAAAAGTCAAAAATAAGGTTGGTGGTGACAGAGGGAGTTTCTGGAATGTCTCTGCATTGTGTCAGCTCCCAGGCAGTTATTTCATGTATTTTCAGAACACTGGGTTCATGTTACAATGCTGACCTGTACCCTGGCAATGTCACTTGTCTGCAGGAGCTGTGACTGTCCTGTCCTTCATTCCAGGCACCCAGTGGCATCATTTTTCCACCTGTTCTTCCGAGTCAGTGCCATCGTTGTTTACGTGCTCTGTGAGCTCCTAACCAGCAGCTTCATTGCCTGCATGGTGACCATCATCCTCCTCCTGTCCTGTGACTTCTGGGCTGTGAAGGTGAGTTCCCCTTGCGCTTTTTGTTGTCTTTGTCTTGCTGTGTAAAAATAACTGACAGTGATGCTCATGTCTCAGAAAAGTCATTTATTTGTGCCTCTCCCACAAAATGATACCTCAAAATACTCTTAAGTGCTGGGGGGATTGCAGAGCTTTATGAAATAAACTCTGACATCTCTGTGCACTTGGCTCCTTTGGAAGGTCCAGTGGAGAGCATTTGTTAGGCTCCCTTCTGAGGCAGCACAGGCTTTGTTACCAGCTCAGAAGCACCACAGATCTGCTGGGGCTCTGAGGAATGGCTTGCTGTGGCTCTCATTCTGCCCGTGTGAGGCAGACAGGCACTGTGGAAAGCAGCAGCCCAGCCCTGAGCTGTGGCAGGAGGGTTCTTTGTGAGAGCACCCAGAGCTCACAGGTTCTGCTCTCTTCCAGAACGTCACAGGGCGGCTCATGGTTGGCCTTCGCTGGTGGAACCAGGTGGATGATGATGGCAGGAGCCACTGGGTGTTTGAGGCCAGGAAGGTTGGTGATTTGGCTCTGACCTTGTACTCCTGTCTGCTTTATGAACCCCTGGTATTGGATGGTGCTGCTGGAGAGGGGAGATTGCACAGGGAACTTCTGCTGGCACCCACAGATCTGTGCAGGCTGCTTTGGGGGGAATGAGCTTTTTCATTGTTGAGTTATTAAAAAGTTCTCATGATGTTCTGATGTGGTTTAATATAAGTACTGTAAGTCTGTAGTTTTGGAGGTAGGAAATTACTTCTGTGGCTGTTTCTAAGCTTTGTAACTGAACCTTGCAGAAAATGTCATTTTTCCCAAATTACCCTTCTAGCCCCGAGCATTCCAAGAGGTTTTGATGCTGCTGCCTCCAGTGATTCTGAGAGAAAACTGAAAAGATTCCCTTAAGTAGAAACACTTCCTATTGCAGAGATGTCTTTGTGTGATGTGGAAATCAGTCCTGGAAGCACCCAGTGCTGCAGTGTGGAGGGAAATCCCAGGGAGTGTGGGGATTCTGCCCTGGTTGTAAGGACATGGGATCTGTAGGATGGAGCACCTGGTCACTGCCATTTCCTTTCTGTTTCAGGTGCCAGCACAAGGGGGTAAGACCTCATCTGAAGCAGAGTCCCGAATTTTCTGGCTAGGCCTGATCACCTGCCCCATGATCTGGGTGATCTTTGCCTTCAGTGCTCTGTTCTCCTTCAAAGTGAAGTGGTTGGTGAGTGCCCCTGAGCTGCGTGCTGGCTCTGCCCTGTCTGAGCCAGGGGCTGCAGCTGCTGATGCTTTTCCTGTCGCAGGCAGTGGTGGTGATGGGGGTGGTGCTGCAGGGAGCCAACCTCTACGGCTACATCAGATGTAAAGTTGGCAGCAGGAAGAACCTGACCAGCATGGCCACCAGCTACCTGGGCAAGCAGTTCCTGCGGCAGGTGAGGCCCCCAGGGGTCTGGGATCCCTGGGGAAAGCACGAGGGGCTCGTTGGTGTTCTGAGCTGTGCACTGGGACCCTGCCCACGCTGCTGTTGGGGAGCCTCAGCCCCGTTAATTAAGGCTCAGAGCACTGCTAATTGCTGTCACCCAGTGCTGAGGTATTGGCTGGTGCTGTGGGTCCGTGCCGTAGGAATCACTGGGATGTGTCTGCTGTGCTGGGAGTAACACCAGGCTGAAAGGGCTGCCCCTGCCCTCTGTGCTCTCTCCCACCCCCACCCAGCTCTTCAGCAGCTCCTGTTCTCCCCCAGCTCTGGGTTTGCTCCTTGCAGGAAAGGGAACCAATGTTCCAGCAGGAACAGCCACCCCAGTTCACCCCACTGCTGCCTTTTCTGGCTGTGTTGATGACCCTGGCAGAGGTGTTTTGGCTGTCATGGGTTCACAGATATTTGCTGTATTTGCTGCCATCAGTGTGGTCAGAAGCTCAAACACTGATGACCTCTCTTGGCACTCTCTGCTGGGCCCATCCCCTTCTTGGTTTCTCCTGAATTCCTGTGCCCTGGCAGGGGTTACCCCGGTGCCCAGGCCAGTCTCAGGCTCTGGCAGAAATGAATGTTTTGCCCCAGAATCCCAGCAGTGGCTCACAGAGTTCTCCTGCCCTCTTTGATCTTGCCTCCTGCAGACCATGGCTACAGAGGACCAGGCAGCATCCTGAGTGTGGTGGGAGCCTCCAGCCAGGCTGCATTCCCAGCAGTGACCAGCAGAGAACTTGCTCTGACCAATTCGGGAGCTGCACACAAGGTGTGAATCAAAAGAAGTAAATAAATTGTGCAAGACTTGAGGTTAACACTCCTGGCAACTTATATTCCCTTTTCCACTAGCAGTTTGTGTTTAGGTCTTCTCTTTAGTTTGATTAACAAGAATTAATTTGCTTAAACTTTAAATCAAAAGATAACCTGAGTGGGTTTCATAGAGGTTTAGAGCTACTAGATGAGTTAAAAAAAATTTGCTGGAGATTCTTCAGAAAAGCCATGTACAAGCCAAGCCTTGGGAGCTCTCCTGCTCCTTCAGCACTTGGTGCCTGGGTGCTTTCAGCTGTGGGCTCTCAGCTTTGGCTCTTGGAGGTTGTTGGTACAGTTTAAGTTGTGAATTTTTGGCCCTGCATCCCTGACGGTGTGACTGGAATGGCTCTGAGGGCTGCAGTGAGGGGCATCTGAAGGAAATTGAGCTGCTGGAAGATCCCTGAGGTCCCATGGCAGCTGCAGAAGGTGACCTGTGACCAGGTTTCTGAAGCCTTCATAGACCTGGAGAACATTCCAAATCCCTGGATCTGGGGTATCCCTGCAGGGCTGGGCCTGTCTGGAGAGTGGAAGAGCAGAAGAATTTCCAGGGAAGACTGCAGGGCTGTGAGAGCAGCCTTGTGTGCCTGGCCTGTCACCCTGAGGCCATGGCCTGTCCTGGAGGGGACCCTGGGGCCATGGGGCTGCTCCTGAGGCCAGCAGGGTGTGGGGATGGGGGTTCCTGGCACAGGGTGGCACTGGCCGGGTGTCACCCTCCTGCAGAGCACTCTGTGCTGTCCCTGAGCTGGGGACAGCCCTGGCTGGGGGCAGTGCTGACAGGGATGGCACTGCTGTGTCTGAGCTCATCCCTGCACTGGGACCAGCTCAGCTCCCTCTCTGGACTCTGCCCTGGAGCCTGTGCTTCCACAGCAGCAGGTGCTGAACGTTCTGGGTCAGGATTGTGACTGAAGAATTTACATGATGGTTTCTCTCTGGCTCCTGTGTGCTGTGGATTGTGGGGTTGCATGGCCCTGGTTCCTGTCCCTGTGCTCTGCAGTACTGGCAGCTGTACATTTGTTTAATTCTGATTGATACCTTCCTTTTGTAAATATGTATTTATTAAATCTTGAAAATAAAATGCTGCTTTGTTTAACCAGCCCAGACCTCCCTCCTGTGGTTCATGGCTCAGCTTCATTTCTGCCCCATGTCCTTGTCAGGCACCTCTAGCAGGAGTTTAATGTCCATTTAAACTGTTCCTGCAGCTCTGGCACAGTTCTGTCAGCTGAGGCTCTGCAGTTTTCCCTGGGCAAACTCTGCCCCAGCTGCTGGAGCTGTCAGCACACAGAGCTGAAGTCGTTGTGTCCCCAGGGCTCCTCTCCTTTGGAGGGCACTCAGAGGTGCCCCTTGCTCAGTCCCACACACACAGAGGAGCTCCAGTGCCCATTTCCATCCAAGGGACCAGGCATTTCTGGGGAATCACTGTGAGGAGGCCAAATTCAGTCCAACCCCCAAGGGAAGAACCTTCAGCAGGTCCTGCAGGGAGGAGTGGGAATCCTCCCTGCTCCAGCCCAGCCAGCCCATTTGCTGCTGGCACAGCTCCAGCCACCAGCTGCTGCTGTTTCTAAAATGTGTTAAAAGCTTTGTACCCGGTGTTTATTCACCTGCTGCCAAAGCTCCCCCCAGACTCGTGGAAAACAGGGCTTTTCTGGAAGTTACAGTTTATTTAACCAAGGACAGAGGCATTTCTTAGTAGATGCCTTTAAATAGAGCTTTCTTTGGATTATTTTTAGCTCTTGGCAAACATTCAGGCTTTTGGCTTCTGAGAAACTGGCAGTTCATTGCATTCCTGTCATGGATCAGAACCAAATTTCTTATCTCTGCTGCAGCTGGGTGTGAGTCTGGTTTGATTCTCACTCGCTGAGTGCTGGGGTTTCCTGGGGAGCAGGAAGTGGGAGTTGCCTCGGAGTAGAGAAATTCTCTGAATGTGCTTTTTGCCACAAGCCCCAGGACTCCACACCGAGGGAGCCAGCTTCTTCAGCATCAACTGGGTGATTAATGCTGGCCTCACCTCAGACCTGGGTTTGGAGAGCAGAAATACTCCAGTAGTAGTAGTAGTAGTAGTAGTAGTAGTAGTAGTAGTAGTAGTAGAGTAGTAGTAGTAATGATAATAATGATAATAATGATAATGATAATGATGATGATGATGATAATAATAATAATAATGATAATAATAATAATAATAATAATAATATTAATGAAGTCCTCTTTGCTCTGAAATAGTGAAATCTGGCTGGGATGGTGCAAGCACAGCTGGAAGCTGTGATACTCCCCAGAATATTTGCTACAGCCACGCTGAGGCTCTTCAGCTGAGTGTTCTCTCCCTGAACCCTGCTCTGTACAAATCCCAACACTGCTCACATGGGAGTTGCACTTTCTGCTCTGTTGTTCCTCACATTCCTCCAAGAATCCTCAAAAACCACCAGGACCACACTTGCCTCGTCCCACCCATCTGGGACTGGGGGAACCATTAGTCTGGGGATTATTTGCTCTCTGAGTTCATCCCTGAGCCCTCTGGGCTCCTCCTGGAGATCCCCAGGGCCCCTGGAGTCGTTCCTCTGGGTTATCCCTCTCTGTGTCACCACGCTCCTTCCCTTTAGTTCACTTTGGGTGAGCTCTGTAGTTTTCTCCTCCTTTTTTCCTCAGTCCTGAGCCCTGTGTAAACAGCTCCATGGTGACCCCGGAGCCTGACTCACCCAGCTGTTCTGTGTGATCCAGGGCAGGGGAGGGCTCAGCTCTGACTCACCCATCCCTCCCGAGGGCAGCCCTGCTGGCCCGGCCCTGTTTTATGGCTGGTGTCACTTCTGTCTATGTTCTATGGCTTGTGACCTTCTGTGTGTGTCACCTGTGCCCTCTCCTCCAAGGTTTAACTTGCCTCAGTTTCTTCCACCAGTACCTGGATTATGTTTTGTTTTTGTTGGAGTCCTCCCTCACACCCAGACCCTGCTGTGGAAGGAATTTGTGTCACCTCTGCTCTTGGGAACTCCACACCTCCTTCCCAGCACCTGAGAGCCCTCTGGTCCAGCTGTGGGCAGAGGTCCCAACCCAAACCCTCATCTAAAATCTCCTTGGATGAGGAAAAAACGATTCCCTGGCCTTTTGTGGGCCCTTCATTTCTCATGTTTGAAGTTGCAGGGTTGTGCCCAAGAGTGTGGTTTAGTTAGGACTGGATTGGATGGAGATGGGGCAAGGACTTTGCCTGGGTCCTGCTCCATCCCTGGTGGGAGCTAGGGCAGGGCTGGGTGCAGGTGGAGTTCTGGGATGGGGAGCCTCCCCAGGCATCCCCTGGCACCTGTGGGGTTCAGCCCGACCTCCCCCTGCCCCTGGGCAGCTGCATCACCCGGGACAGCCCGGAGGCCCAGCACGGTGAGAAAGGGCAGGATCTGGAACGGCCTGGGGGATATTCCTCTGGTTTGCAGCAGGACGGGGAGGGCAGCAGCCCCTGGGCAGTGATCCGGCTGGGCAGCCTCAGGGGACATCAGGGGCATCGGGGACAACAGGGACATCAGGGCCATTTGGGGGACATCAGAGACATCGGGGACAACAGGGACATCAGGGCCATTTGGGGGATATCAGAGACATCGGGGACAACAGGGACATCAGGGCCATTTGGGGGATATCAGGGCCCTGCTATCAGGGCAGCAGTAGCAGCAGCAGCGAACATCTGGAGCCTCACAGTGAACATCTGGAGCCCCCTGGGCTCGGACCCTGATCTCCCCAGCCCTCTCCTCTCCAGATCCGCACGGCAGCAGAGGGAGCCCTTAGGCTGTGCTTTAAAGAACAATTAAATAAATAATCATTTAAAACAGAGCCGAGAACGTTTCCAGGTCAGGTTTGCTGGGAACGAGTCCCGGGATCAATCCTGAGCCCTGAGCGGTGCCAGAGCCACCTGCGGGCATGGCACTGCCCTGGGCACGGTGCCACCGCGGCCATGCAGAGGGGTGACAAAGAGGGGGACGGGCACCAGGGCCGGGACCGGGCAGGGCCAGAGAGGGATGTGAGGAATATAACGGGAACATGATTCACCGCTCTGCTCACAGGGCTGGGAGCAGCCCTGCAGCTGGAAAAAGGCAGCAGAAAGTGAATTTGCTGCCAGCCCTGTGTGTGTGGGACCGGCTGCCTGAGCTGGCTGCTCAAACGGCCCTCGGGCCCACCCTGATTTGGGGGAATAAACTGTGATTTAATAAATGCTCCCTGGGAAAGGATTCGGCCCAGGGCCTCAGGTGGAAATTAAAAATCAGAGTCCAAGTGGCCAAAGGAGGATTTGCCATCTGCATCCAAGTCTGCAAGTAAAACACAGGCATTTGCAGGAAGAGCTGTCATTCTGCAAGGATTTCTGCAAAAAAAGAGAAAGTCCAGGCAGGGAATGACAAATGGGAGTGGGGTGGGAATGGGCTGGTCCATGGGCTGTTCCCTGGGCTGATCCCTGGGCTGATCCATGGGCTGATCCATGGGCTGTTCCCTAGGCTGTTCCCTGGGCTGATCCATGGGCTGATCCATGGGCTGATCCATGGGCTGTTCCCTAGGCTGTTCCCTGGGCTGATCCATGGGCTGATCCATGGGCTGATCCATGGGCTGTTCCCTAGGCTGTTCCCTGGGCTGATCCATGGGCTGATCCATGGGCTAATCCATGGATTGATCCATGGGCTGATCCCTGGGCTGATCCATGGGCTGATCATGGGCTGATCCCTGGGCTGATCCATGGATTGGTCCATGGGCTGATCCATGGGCTGACTTGGGATGGATTACACGCATTTTTGAACTTCAGTGCCTGCCTAACTTAGGCTCAACACCACCCAGGGTGTGGAAGCAGCGGGAGCCTTGCAATTCCCTCAGGGAATAACTCCCACCTCTGCCTCCTGAGCATCCTCCTCTGGCCAGGAGCATGCTCAGCCCCAGATGTGAACCCACAGCTCAGGTCTCTCCTGCTCTAAATATGTACCAGGAGGAAATTCCGGTCCTGGCCCCTCTTGGCAGAGCTCTCAGCTCTCCTCTCGCGGTTAGAGCCGCAGGACCTCTGAGTTCCAGCTGCAAAAGTCCTGCAGTTACACAAGAGGAAGCAGCACAGCTCATGTGCATGGGAATTGTCCCGTGTGCCGGGGCTGGACGCCATCTGTGTGACCCTTGCCGGGGTCGGAGGGGAGACATTCCGTCTTCCCTGTGTCATTCCGAGTAGAAAGCCAAACTCCGGCTGCAGCTCACAGCCCTGGCAGGCGCTGGGCCCGTGGGGATGCTCGGAGCTGTTTTCCTAAAATGTGATTGAGCAACGCCCAACGCGTCCAGCGGGAGCCGCCGGGGATGAGCCGGGGCCTTCAAGGAAAGGGAATAAAAAACGAGCCCAGCTCCAGGGCTGGGACCTTGGAAGTGTGCAGAAGTCACAGCTGCGAGGGGAAACGGTGACAGTCTCACAGTCTGGAGGGAATTGGAAGCATGGACAGGGATCCAAGCTGTGGGAGCACTGCCGGGACACTGCGAGATGTGCAATTTATGGAAATTCATTGCCATTCCTGACTGGTATTTGCTGGGAGCTGAACAGTGTCGCTCAGCGACGTTCTGGGAGGGACACACAGGGAAATGCCTGTGGGGCCACCTCCGAGTCATTCCTTGCCTGGGATCACATCCAAGAGGTCTCACCAGAGTCCCAAAATTCCCTTTCCATGCAGTATGACACACACATTCCTCCTCCCGTGCCTGGTGAGT